TATATAAATCTTTAAAGTAATTTAAAAAAAAAAAGGATAAACTAGGACCATCTTCTGAGAAATGCTGAAGGAGCACCCTGCAGTGAAGAAACCTCCTGGGTAACATTTAGAAATCAGTCTTACCTCCATGACTTCAAAAATCCTTTATATTATCTTCTTTTTGTTACAATAAAGAAAAACGAGCCACCAACTCCTCCCCTTTTTCCCCCCAAAAAACAGAATTACTGAAAATAAAGCAATGGACTTCAGAGGCTTATTATTAAAAAACCAAAAAAAAAAAAAAAAATTTCATGACAGGAGTCAAAAGTCTTCTAATTTAACATCCAGCAACTTCTCTTTGCTTAGCCTTCTATCTACTCAGACAAACTGAACATGCATTAGAACATTCCATATGCTCAAAAGCAAACTGAGCAAATCAATAACTAGGACACAGCATATAAGCCAGCTAGAGGATATGGGTAGGGGTCAAATCAATGCCTTCATGCTTTCTAAAAGTGCTTGAGTTTCTTCAGTTTAGAAAAAATTAATTCAATGTTTGAATATTTCTCCCCCACGATGCTTCATTTTCCTCTTCTAACGTTACCTTAAATTTCCTTTTAGGCAAATATGGCATAGAGAAAAAAATGTTTAAGACAGCAAAATGACTTCAACTGGGGGACCTCTGAGGCCTGTATCACCCATCTAGAAGAGGGATAGCAGGGCCCTCCCCGGTGGGGGCAATGAGTTAAAGCACAGCACCATCAATCTATCTGCAGCCACTGCAGATCCCCAGGCCAGGCCAGGGAGGTGACCCACATGGCATGGCAGACCTCTCCTGACCCTGCCCGCTGCTCCTCTCAGCAGTGTATTTCAGTCAATCCTCCTGTTCTGCTCCCCATTGTTCTGGTGAATCCTTTCACCCCATCCCCACCCTTAAAGCCTACACCCCAGTTCCTGTATGCATAAAAACAAATTTTTGAAAATGTTAAGCGGGATAGCCAATCAAAATTCCAACAGACAAGTCATATAAAGGTGTAAAGTAACAAGCCAACAGACATTCTCCTCCTTATCAGGGATCCTTGCCTGGTTGTGGTAAGGGCTATGATAAAATTGAAGGACATGATGAAAACTAGAAGGACATGATGAAAACTAAAACATGACTGGTGCAAAGCAAAAACAACAGGTTCATGGCTACCACATCTAATTTTTCAAAAGCAGCCTGAATCCATAAAATTACATAAAATCCAATTCAATTACATAGAATTCAATTACATAAAATTTCTCTCTCTCTTTTTTTTAATTTATTTATTCATACGGAAATGGGGTACAGGTCAGAGGTGCAGAGGTGAAAGAGGATTTACCAGAGCCAGAGTGGGGAGCAGACCAGGCAGATCAACGACGTACGCTGATGAGGTAACACAGGAGAAGTTTGCTAAGCCATGTGGGTCACCTCCCTGGCCAGGGATCAAACTCATGCTGAAGCACCTGCAATCAGCTTCATAATGCTGAGCTTTAACCTGTTGCATCACTAGAGAGGGCCCAAAATCTCCCCGTTTTTTAACGTTGACAATTAATTCAAATTTACAACACTGTGTGAGCCAAACAAATCACATCTGCAGACTGGATTTAGTTCTTGAGCCTTCTATTTTCAGTCTCTGCCATAAAAAGAAAAACAAATGGTTTTTTCAGCAACAGCACTCTAACTCTGGGGTAAAAAGCACACCCTATGCTTCCAGTAATACTATCATTTGATAATATATTACAAAATAGATTGTTTACACCTGAATCCCATAGTTGCTAAAGGAAAACTAGGCAATAAATGTTTCATAAACGCTCTATTTCTAACCACTAAAATATGAATGGTAAATAAAATCCAATGGAAAAAAACATCAGGAAATGGGTTTTTGCAAAAATGAGCTCACTAACGTTCAGCTTTCTCAGTAAGCTCATCAGCCAGAAACTTCTAGACAGAAAGATTTCTATTACAAGGTGTTTAATCTTGATTTTAAAAGACTTCCTTGGAATAAGAAAGTTCATCTTATAAAAAGAATACCTGTGGGTCTTAACTCTCCTATCCTAGTAAGCCATAAGCAGTTACTTTTTGTGTGGGTGATAGACATACTACAAATTCTGAAGCAATGCTTCTTAAACTTTCAAACTAGAGTACGATGCAATGACCCTTTATTTGAAAAAATTCCACTCCCTAAAAAAATTTCATAGGGGCCCTCCCTTGTGGTGCAGCCAGCTGGAGCGCAGCAATGCAAGCTAACAGCAGCTGCTTCATTGCAGAGTTCGATTCCTGGCCCTGTAGGTGATCCAAATGGGCCACAGACCTCTCCTGACTGCTGCTCCCCTCAGCAGTGCCCCTTAGCAGCGTAATTCATCAATCTGCCTGTTCTGCTCCCCACTGTCTCTGGTGAATCCTCTCACCGCCTCTGCACCTCTAGCCTGTACCCCAGTTCTATATGTGTAAATAATCTTTTTAAAAAAGTAATATTAATCTTGAGGATATTAAACCTATTTAATCTCCAAAGCCTCCTCTTCTTCCCACCCATCTCTACTCTGCTTCAATCTGAAGTGCAGTACTCTTCACTGATATCCCTAAAAACACATTTCCACACCTCTAAAGAAGGTATTCTGAAATATAAATCAACCCCTCCCATGCAGAACACTTCAGTTGGCTTCCCTTAACAACTTAACCTCTCCATCTCATCTTTATTCACTCTCCTAGATATGGTTCAGCCGCACTTGGCTTCTTTTCAGTTCTAAAAACACATTATATTCTCCCCATCTTCAAGTTTTGGCACTTTCTGTTCCCTCCCTCTACCTGGAATGATTTCTCAATGCCCTTAAAAAAAAAACAAAAACAGGGTTTCCTCATTCTTGCCAAAAAGAACATCTCTGAACACCCTCGGCCTCCCTCTTTTTATCGCCTACCACAGTCCCATTTGGTACCACTACATCACTTTTCCGAATTTTAAACTTGTTTATCTGTGGGTATCATCATCGCCATTCTGTAAGTTCCCAAAAGAGCAAGACACCTTCTTCCTCACAGCCCCTGTGCTGTCTGAGCATAATTATAGGCAACAGCACATAGTAAGTTTTCAGACATTATTTGTTAATCAACTAAATACCAATCAATTTTAAGATATTTATACAATGAGTGTGAAAAAACTCATCAACAATCTCCTATTTGAAAGGATAGCACTGATCACGCTTCCTTAACACCAGGATGTCACAACAGCCAACAGAAACAGACTGAAGTACCTTAAGATTACTGCTTTAAGACTGCCCATTCTAAAAATTACTAATTATCATATCTTGTGCTGTGCCCGCGTATTCCCTCTCTCTCTCTCCATCTCAATACTCCAAACTTCCTCCCTCTGTTTCCTCAGTACAAGCCTTCAGTCATCAATAATTTCACTGGCTAACCCAAATTCAAAAAGTATGAAAGAAAAATGCTCAAGTACTACTACAGTTGCTGTTAGTACTATCATCACCACTACCATAACATTACACCAAGGCTGAAAACTAAAAAACATCAGTCCTTAAAACTGGAAGTCTTTCACGGGTTCTAAAACATTTAAAAAGCTGAGATGAGACTGTTGAGCATAGAGGTTTTTGGTTAGCTTCTTAAACAAGAACTTCAACTCTTTTACAAAATACAATCAAATTTAAATGGCCGTAGGAAAAAGGCTTAACATTTTTTGTAAAGTGCTACAGTGAGTGCATTAATTCACAAAACACATTTGTCGGCAAATTAATTCTGATTTCCTGCAGAGGTTGTTCAAAGCAGAAATCGTTTTGGATCTTTACAGGTTTCTGTAGGATGATACTCTTGATAAGAAAGTTAAAACATTTTCACAAAAGGGAAAAAAAAAAACTGATGGCTTGACACATGCTATTCACTTTGGGTTCACAATCTAGAAATCCTGCAAATGACGGCAACAGTTAACAATGCTCAATACATGGCAGGTAGTGAGATAAGCGGTTTTCAATTTAATCTCACTTAATCTTCACAAAATAACCCGATGCAGTGGTCACCGTTATTCCCCGCTGCTTTCAAGACAAGGAAACTGAGGCAGCCCGTAAGTCCCCCTGACCTCAAATCAAAAGCTCGCAGAGCCAAGCGTTAAACCCAACAAGATGGCTCCAGGATCCTTGCTACACCAGCACAGGCGGCTCCACGGCCCATAGTCTGCAAGCCCCACCACCCTCAGAGGCATTTCCTTCAGTCCAATTAACAACCTCCGGGAAACACTGAACTCCCACCGACAGCTTCTGACTTGTGGGCACCCAAGCAACTAGGCAGCTTCGGTGGCCGCCATGCTCCACCCCTAGGATCGAGACCGACCAAAAAAAAAAAAAAAAAAAAACCTGATAAAAGTTGCTTATGTGCTACGAGCAGCAAAAGAAATGGCCTCATGTACGCAGAGCACACGCCGATTACCAGTGGAATGCGAGTCCGCTTCCCTCCAACCCGAATGACTCAAGTAAAGAGCGGGCGCGAATATTCCCGTAGTAGACGAACTTCTATGCCTCCTCTGGTCATAAGGCGTAAAAAAGAGGTACTAAAACTTACTTAGTGCCAGCCACATGCGCCCCAGAAGACAGAACCAGAGCTGTGTAAAATGGGGGGTGGCGGGGAGGGGATGGGACAAACAAGTTCCGAGAAAACGGAGAAATTTAGAAAAATGGATTCATACGGTCAAAGGGAGAGACGGACGTGGTGGGAGCTCGCCCCTGGCAGCTTGAAGGGAGAAAGGAGAGGCGCCACCCGAGAGAAAAGGCCCACAGGGCCGGGAACTAGGCCGGAGCGAGGGGAAGCCCTAAAGGGCGGGGAGGGGGAGGAGTCGCAGAGAGCGGGGCCCGCTCTGAGGCGGCCAGGGAATAGGCGCGGAGAGCGGTTCCGCGCCAGGCCTGCCCGCGGACCTCGACGCAGCCGCCCGAAGAAAAGATGAGAGACGAAACGGCTAGAGCCAGCCGAGCTGCCCTAATACCCATCAAAGGCCCTCACTTACCTGGGCCCACCGCAGAGATCGCAGCTGCAGCCTCGCAACGGCACAACCGGCCCGAATCTCGCCCCCGCCCGACAGCGCGCCCCGCGTCCCCGCTCTCCGACGAAGCTGTGGCGGCGTCGCCTCGCCGCCTCTTGGGAAATGTAGTCCTAGGCCTGGTTTTCCTTGACAACCTGGCAGTCTACTGAACTACGCTTCCCACAAGGCAAGGCGAGCGTTAGGCCGACCGCTTGCGTCACGCGCCAGGTTGTCGGCAGTCACGTGGGTTGCTCCGTTCCATCCCCTCCCCCAGACTGGGTGGCATGGGGAAGAAGAAGGGAGGTGGACGGAAGAGGCGGGGGCGTTGCTTACGCCACTGCCCCCACCATTTTGGAACCAGCTTGGAAGGAGAGCCTACGTCCCACCCACTCACGGCCTGGATAAGTCTGGTAGCTGGAAATCCAGTCGCCTGGCTTTCGGTTTCTGCCCTGCCACATTTTGCTTTGTGACCTTGAGCAGCTCGTCTCCCTCTCAGTCGGTTTCTTCCTTTATGGAATAAGAATAATTTCTATCCGAGTTATTACAAGGCTCCGACAAAGTAAAGCACATAAAAGCGTCTGACAGGGTGATATGAAATGCATTTTCTTTCTTTCTCTCTCTCTTTTTTTTTTTTTTTGGTAATAAAGTAACATCTTTCAGAAACCCACCTGGATGAAACTTCCTCACCACCCGCTACCGCCAGACCCCATCCCTGATGATAGTGGATAAAAGTTGGTGAAAATGGAAATTTCTTAGTGAGGGTGGCCCGAGAATCAGCATTTTATAAGGCCTCTCCAAGAATTTATAGGCAAGCTTGAGAATTATCAAGAGCTTTACACACACTAGTTTACTTTGGAAGTCCTACCCTACTGAACTGGGACCTTAAGACTCAGCTTAAGAAATCACCTCTTGTGTAAAGGATTACAAACTCATAAACTCCTCCCCACCAATGTACTCCCACAATATCTTGACATCTTATTTCATTATCAGAGCTGGTGTTTGTCTTCCCTACTAGTCTGTGGTCTATGAAAACAAATCAGCTTTGATGGATTTTTGCATCCCCAGGCAAAGTAAACATGAATAAATATTGAAGGAATCTACTGATCTTTCCTGAGAAACCAGAAATACAGTCAGACTATCACATCAACCCCTCACCCTTCTGGTCCCACGACTACATTGCTTACTCGTGCTTCTTTGAGCACTTCTGTTTGCTGCCTTGCTGTATTGCCTGTGTTTTGCAGCTTAAACAGTCCAAGTTTTCAATGTAGAGAGTTTCTGACTATCTACTATATGTCCGGCCTAGTGCAAAATACTAAGAACAATATGGTGAACAATGGATACAAAAACACAAGTCATTCCTCTTGGTGTTGGAAACAACTATGCTGGATTATCTCTTACCTCTCACCCACCTCTGCCCCTTCTCTGGCCCACAAATTTACCCCATGATTCCAGCCATCACTTTTTCCTCTCCTTGTTCAGCCTCTCTGGGAGGCCTCTGGGGTGATCTGGCATACTCAGGTAGCTTTTTTATTTCTCCCTTGCATTTGACTCTTTTATCTGTATCTCAATCTCAATGAGAATGGCACATCTTAAAACAATTAGCAACAACAAATGTTGGCCAGGATATGGGGGAAAAGGAATTCTCCTGCACTGCTGGTGGAAGTGCAAACTAGTACAACCATTATGGAAAACTGTTTGGAGGTTCCTCAAACTGCTAAACATGGAG